GAGCGATATGACAGAAATCCAGAATGCAAAATCACACTGAAAGCCAGCAAGTCCATCTGTCCAGAACGCAGAAATGCACTGATATTCCACCAACGGAGAACCAAAGCACTGAATCCGAATGTCAATGAGAGCATACTCTCGCCACCACCAACATATGTATGCAGAGTCCTTCCTCTTACTTGGTGCTCCGCACCCAGACTATTATCACACAGCCTACTAGCAGCCTACGTATTGACAATGCATCCAGTTGACGTCAGCAGCAGAAACGAAGTACATGAATATGTCGACCCTTGTAGACCATCGCCAGGACCAGGTACGTGCCCTCACATCATCAACCTCATCTCTCTCTCTCGCACACCCTCGACTTTCTCACCCACGTCTTCGGCCTCAAACACAAAGACCACCACCACCTCCACTGGCTACATCCAAGCGAAGCCCTGCTATGGGGGCTGGCTATGGCGCTGCCCTCAGCAGCGCCGTGCATCCTGCACGTCCGCGCGTGCAGGCAGCACCAGCACTAGCGCAGCAAGCAGCCCGCGAGCGATCGCTCCAGCAACGCTGCTGCCTACAATTGCAAGTGCCCGACTGTCTCGTCTGGAGCCCAGCCCTTTCCTATATGGAAAGTGGCGGGCGCTTTCCACTTGCTTCCCACGTGAGACCAAGTTTCCAGTAGCTTCAGTCTCGGCGAAAGTGTCTGCGCCCAGGCCTGTTCAGACAGTGGCCTGGGACGAAATTGGTTATGCTTGCCCAACCGCCCAGGCGCAAACGTGCGGTGCTCTCTGCTTAGACTACGTTACTGGAAGAGCCTGGAAGGCTCACAAATATTTTGGATTCTCACTGGCGCGTGGCAACTGTCTGGCGCCCACCAAGATTTGCAAAAATTGACGAACTCAGTGCACATTGGGATTCAGGGGCCCGCCTTCACTTAGGGCGGGCAAGCGTCTGCTGCAAGGCCAGAGGGGTAAACCCTCGCATAGTTTACTTACTTGAAAAAAGTATTAAAATGAATTTATTAAATTAAATTATTTGCGACGATTTTAGTATTTTACCCTTTGGCATACCTGCGTAAGGCCCCCACAGCAAGCCCATGCCTGCCCTAAGTGAAGGTGGGCCCCCTGAATCCCAATGAGCCCTGAATTCGTCATTTTTTGCAAATCTTGAATTGCGCCAGACAGTTGTCATGCGCCAGTTGGTAACATTGACCCTGCTCGTGAGAGCCTGAAATATGCGTGAGCCTTCCAGGCTCTTCCAGCAACGTGTTGGAAGCAGAGAACACCGCACGTTTGTGCGAGGGTGGTTGGGCATGCCTAACCAATTCGGTCCCAGGCCGCTGTCTGAATGGGCCTGGTCGCAGACACTTTGGCCGAGAGTGAAGCTACTGGAAACCCGGTCCCACAAGGCTGGCGGCAGGCAGCGAGCCTGCCACTTTACATTTAGGAAAGCGCCGGGCTACTCACTCGGCATTCGGGCACCTGGTGTTGCGTGCGGCAGCACTGCTGGATCAAGCACTCGCGGGTGCTGGCCGCGCGCTATTGCAGGTAGTCGGGCATGCGCGGGCCTCATGTAGAGTACGGTGCTGCAAGAAGGCAGTGCCAAAGCTGAGCCCAATAGCCGGGCTCCAGCTTGGACTTAGCTAGCGGAGGTGGTGGTGGTCTTTGTGCTAGAGGAAGAAGACTGGGTGAAGAAGACGAGGGTGAGCGGTGAGAGGGAGATGGTGATGATGTCGTGAGGGCACGCACCTGGTCTTGGTGATGGTCTGCGTGGTCGACATCTGCGTGTACTTTGGTTGCTGCTTCTGTTGTCAACAAGTTGCTTGTCATTTCGTCACTGGTGGAGTAGCTGTAGGATAATAGTCTGGGCGCTGAGTGTCAGTAGGAGGAAGAGCTTTGATTGCAATGTTGGTGGTGGCTAGTATATGCCTTCATTGACAATTGAGTTCGGTGCTTTGGTTCTCCTTCGCTGTAATATCAGTGCAATTCTGCTTTCTGGATAGTGTTCAACTATATGGCTTTAGATGTGATTTGCAATCTAGAATTCTGTCATGAGACTCCTTACGCTATCACTCATTTTCCTTGCAATTTGGTATCGGTGCAAGGAACCCGACTGTTCATCACGTGCTGGAGTGCATCAAATCACATGCATATACACTGATTTCACAGTTTGCGAAGTCTCACACAAAACCCAATAGAAGATGAATGAGAACCAGGAAAGATCAACTCAATTATCAAACCCAGAATTAGAGAGAGAACATCGTGAGTTCAAAGTGTATAGCGCTGAACAGAGATTACAAGTCTTCTTCGATCAACATGAGTTCCAAGCCTGGCGCTCGTCAGCGCCAGCTGCCAAATGTCAACAACAGCGCTCAACAGGTAAGTGTCACCATAGCTCACACTTCCCCCTCTCTCGTCTGCCTTCTTCTCTCTCTCCCTCTATGTCTGTAGTTCTGGTCTACCCTCATTCATCATGCATGCACACTCCCTATCACACAAGGATCTACTCTGAATACTACTCACTGGTATCTCCTACTGACTATCCCTTCTAACATACTAACTGGCGCTGGTGCAGTTATGGCTGCCTTCCCTCTAGCCAGCACTCTCTTCCTTTCCACATAGTGCTGCTCTTCAGCCTAGCGCTGCTCACACACATCTAGCGCACAAGTGCCACGACACTTCCACACTCTCATGCGAAGTGAGCATGTGCCCAAATGGGAGATTGGCCAGTCCTTTATAGCGCTGGGCTGGTCTAGCGTGGCCTGCGTTCAGCCTTAAGTGTCCCTGGGACTCCTGCCCAATACCCGTTGTTGCAAAGTGTGTGTCCCAATATCTTTTCCCATGGTCTGTTGCTGCTTTGGGCTATCGGGCCTGTCTTTTGGACTCCTGGTCTGAATCAGGACTGACTCGTGAGATTATGACTGAACTGGGACTGTGGAGAGATCGTGGATACGTACCTGATGGTCTTCATGTCTAATCTCCCTCCTCCCTCTTCGTTTGTGTATGATTATCTCATCTCATTCCGTCTGGATACGATTTTGACTATTGGTAATCATCAGCTGGTTGATATTTATCTGGGCTTGCATTGTTGACGACAGTCTTCACGATCGGGATTCATTGCAATTTGGTATCGGAGCAGTTCTCCTGATGATGATGATTGTACACATGTGCATGCGCTAGGTGGCGTGCAGGTAAGTGTAGAGCACACGTGTGTTGAATAGGTGATGACGTGGCAAGAGATACGACAAACTTCACTGGCGAGAAGACACTGTCGGGGTTGCTGCCGAGGTACAGACTTCGCTGCCCAGAGGACATCCCTACGAGGCTGCTGACGTGGCAGTAGGGATCACGACAAGGGATACCGCGCGCCAGCCTGGATCGCGACAATGACATGGCATCGCGGTGCCCTGCTGACGTGGCATATGTTGTGCCGCGTTTGAAGGCCTTGTTGCTGATTGCTGATGTGGCACTTCTCATGCTGCTGACGTGCGACAGGGTCTATTGCAGATGCTGACGTGGCCTTGAAGAAACAGGATTGATTGCTGACGTGGCAGGAAGCAAGTCATCACACCTATTTTCGTGAGGTGTTGACTGCCTGCTGACGTGGCATCGGTTTCCTTGGCCGACGTGGCATGATCCGAAAGGCTGGAACGGTGATGGTATCTCAACGTGACGCATGGAAGTGGCACGTGGCTAGGATCAGAGTACACATTTGCTGACGTGGCATCCCGCTATTGGTTGACTGGACATTGTGGTACAAAGTGCTGACGTGGCAGTACATGCTATGTTGGCTCTCCAGGGATGACACGTGGCAGGCAGGATTACTGCCGAGTAAGAGAAGCATTCTGAAGACGACGGCGGTACAGCTGACTGAACGACTGACAAAACAGCTGTAGTGCCAGTTGTGAGGGAGAGTGCATATCGCACTGACGTCAGGAAGACACAGCGGGTTGAAGAAGGTTGATGACAAATTGTTTGCTGATGTTGTTGGCATACTTACATTGTCATTCGTTGTGTTGTGGTGCTGTGCGTACTTACTTGTGTGTTATATCTTATCACACGGGCCTGAGGTGGTATCTGTACACTCTTGTTTAGGATGTCATCACACAGACAGACAAAGAACAGCCATAGTTAGAAAATAGAAATAATTGTATTTGTTCTTTTTCTTTGGTTCTCTGAAAACTTGCTGCTGTAGATTAGTGCGGCCGTGGAATTTATTATTGTTTATTGATTATTTATTGTGGGGCAGACGCACATCAATATGTATTCTCTCTGGAACTATCTGAAACTTCCAGTGCTCACTCGATTTATTCCTTCTCTTTTCTTTCCCGTCTCACTCATGTTTGGTATTGATGAGGAGACCCCTGACCCCCGAACCAGACAGCAAGTGGAAGAGCGGAAGAAAGTCCTAATAGCCTGCGTGGATAGATTGATCTCTGAACTCCACGACGCAGGTGCGGAAGCCGAGGCCCACATATGAGACCAGTTCGATTTGAGAGCAGTACATGCTGTTATTCAATCGGCTGAGACGGGCACCGACGTCATGGGTGTTCAGAATGAACTTATCAAGTGTTGTCAGGCATTTGATAAGTATATGATTGAACAACTTGCAAAGATTTCAGATCGGAAAGAAGAGAAGAAAGAAGTTGTGTCGGAAGAAGCCGTGGATGAAAATATTAGACAATTAGAAGAAGCACTTGAAAGGGAGAAGAGAAGAAAAGAGGAAATGAGGAAGGAGAAAGAAAGAAATGTACAGCAAGAACAAAAGATAGAAGAAATTCGACAACATGTCATTGTAACCGAAGGGGAAGGATAAGCAGTTTTTTTGGCTCAACTCGTGACTTACCTTGCTCACCCAGAGATGAAGATTGATCAGTATGGTGTACAGATTGATGACGTGTAACACTGGCGGGGGTGTGTTGTCAAAAAAAAAAAAAAAAAAAAAAAAAGATTGATGAAGTGACCGCGGGATTGCAGATAATTTCCAATCTGGTCAAAGGAAAGAATCAGGTGATTGAAGAAGTCCGAACCGAGAAAGAAGAGAAACCGAAGAAACTGTTGGGAAACGCAATGAAGTCTCTTGAGGTAGAGACTTCGAAATCAGACGAGAAGAAAAGGGAGCTTTCAAACCCGCCGAAGTCTCCCGATGGAAAGAAGGATACCACCATACAACCCAAGAAACCAAAAAGAAAGGAGAAAATCAAAATGAAATTGCCTTTCACATTCTGCAACAAGAAAGATGAAAGTTTACTGTTGTGGATTGTTGAGATACAAAAGTACTGGAGTACGACCCCTGTTGAACCCGAATCCGAGGTTGCCTTCTCTACCTCTTGTCTCGGGGGGGAAGCTAAGGAATGGGTTTTGGCCGAAGCCAATGCGGCAGGGTTCGATGACATTGGGGAGTGGGCTAGAACTTTGAACCTCAAGCACTTCCTTGGAAAGATCAAGGAACGGTTCTTGGACAAAACGACGGCCGACAAGGCTTTTGACCAGCTCACCACAATTGGTCAGAAACATTGGACCTTTGTGGAATCGCTGTCTAGGGATTTTGATCGGTTGCTGCAGGTTCTTGGACTGAACCTGCAAGACAACCAAGTCTTGTACATCTATTTCTGTGCTCTGCCCGAGCCCATTCGTGGACAACTCGTGGCAGAGTCGAAGTCCGACAAATATAATTATAGGCAGTTTCGAGATCTGGCTCTCCAACGAGAGCAAATGACATCTCAGGTGAAGAATTCTTATGCGTCTGTTGTGAAGTTTGGTGGTGGTGCAGGTATAGGAAAGCGGATACTTGAGCGCCAAAAGCTCCAGGACCACACCCTCGTCATCTTTGATGACGATACTGTGGAGAAGTGGCCATTGGAGGTCGAGGGTGTGGCAAGCAGCATTGATGCCGAGAAGGGGGAAGTCACTGTTGCTGTGGTCAACAAGGGAGGACCACGACCACCAGTAATGAAGAAGAAGAAATCACGCTCGTTTCCTGAGCATCCCGGAATTGCAGCCGGGAAGCCATGGGAAAATATGGGAATGTCACAAGAAACGTGGCAGGAAAAAATGGACAATGCACAGTGCGTGAAGTGTGGTACCCCAGGGCATGTGATTGCAGGGTGCCCACTTATACGTAACCCAAAAGCGAGCCGCTTGTAGGAGTAGCATCTGCTCCTACTGAGTCTAAGGGTTTGGACCAAGATGAAGGTAAGGCGCCTACTAACCCTTTCAACCTTTTGACTCACATGGCAGAGGATGGTTCTTCTTCAGCCCATCGTTCGGAACACCCTGAACCTGTCTTATGTACTGTCTCTTTGGATGACTCTCTTGACGAGCTTGGTAACAAGTTGCTAGCATTACAAAGCTCGTGGGCTAAGAAATCTAAGTCTAAGGGTGACCTACTACTCGCGGACGTAGAGATTGCACATACACGTGTAGGTGCACTGTTGGATTCGGGATCCACGCGATCCTACATATCCGAGAAAGCAATCCGCAAGTTGCATCTCGGAATGAAGGTAAAAAATTTGTCTCGACCTATCACGTTTATTCTCGCTGACAGACGCATGATCACTATCTCGCAATGTGTTGATCGTGTTAAATGTCGATTTCGCTCCAAAGAAGGAAAAAAGATTCTTCACGAGGTATCATTCTTGGTCGAAAAGAATTTATTCTTTGACTTGATTCTGGGAATGGACTGGCACGAGGAAGCCAACCCTGATATCAAGTTCAAAGAAAAAATTTTGCAGTTGCGTGATGCACACTTCGAATTGAAACCTATCAAATTGTTTCATTAGTCTGGATCTGACTCTAGTCTCTCTATCTGTTGTATGAGTTATCCAGCATTCCGCTCAATCGTTTCGAAGAAAAGGTTGGAACAGGAAGTAATGATGGTCTTAGTAAAGAAAGCAGGTGAGTCTTCTACTTCCTATCCTCCTTCGATTGAAAAACTCTTAGATGAGTATAAAGATCTACAAATTGAACCAACAGGAATAACTGAGCGTGCAATTAAGCACACCATTGAAATTATTCCTGGTAGTAAGATTCCCAAGGGCCCTTTCTACCAAATGTCTGCTAGGGAACTTGAGGAATTAAGGAAACAACTGCAAGACTTAACAGAAAAAGGATGGATTCGCCTTAGCTCCTTTCCTTATGGTGCTCCTGTCTTGTTTGTACCAAAGAAGGAAGGTGAGTTACGTCCATGTATAGATTACAGAGGGTTGAATGTCGTCACTGTTAAGAATGTTGAACTGCTTCCTCACATTGACGACTTACTTGACCAGTTACAGGGATGCAGGTACTTTAGCAAGATCGACTTGAAGTCTGGGTATCACCAGATCGAGGTGGAACCTTTCGATCAGCATAAGACCGCTTTTCGGACCAGGTACGACCACTATGAGTTCGTGGTAATGCCCTTCGGATTAACGAATGCCCCTGCTACTTTTCAAAGGTCAATGAATGACTTGTTTCGTCAATGGTTGGATAAGTTTGTCATTGTCTATCTCGATGATATTCTAGTGTATAGTAAAACACTAGAGGATCATGAGAAGCACCTTCGTCTGGTGCTAGGGAAGTTGCGTGAGGGCAACTTTAAGATCGACTCAAAGAAGGCTGAGTTTGCTAAGTCCGAAGTGTTATACCTAGGACACATGGTAAACGAAGAAGGTCTAAGGCCGGAAGAGAAAAAAATATCATCAATTAGAGATTGACCACAACCTAAGTCTATTAGTGAACTACGATCTTTCCTTGGTCTAACTAGTTGTTATAGGAAGTTTGTCAGAACCTTCTCACTGATTGCTGCACCAATGCGAAGATTGTTAAAGAAAGAAACTATCTGGTTGTTGGGTAAGGATTGTGAGTTTTCCTTTCATAAATTGAAGTATGCACTAACTCACTACCCCGTCCTTAAGATTGCTAACCCGTCCTTGCCTTTCATTGTCACCACTAACACAAGTCAGTATGGGGTTGGCGCTGTTCTCGAACAGGATGACGGCAAAGGCTATAGGCCCGTAGAATTTATGTCTAAACGACTGCCGTGTGACAAAGTCGCCAATTCCACATATGAAAGAAAATTATATGCCTTAGTCTGTGCGTTGGACACATGGAGGCACTACCTGTTAGGGAGGCACTTTACTGTGTATTCAGACCACTCAACCCTACAGTGGATAAAAACACAGTCCAGACTCTCTGACAAGTTAGTAAGATGGTCTGCATTCATTGACACCTTTGACTTTGAAGACAAGACTATCAAAGGTAAGTCTAATGTGGTTGCAGATGCTTTATCCCGACGCAGTGATTTCTTTGGTGCAATTGTCTCTTACCTGGATGTTGGGAATGACCTGAAAGACCAAATTCGCCAAGGATATGCTACTGATCCTATATGAAAACCAATCATGGATATCCTTGTAGGAGATCCATCCCAACTACCCAACTATAGACTAACTGATGGGATTTTGTTCTTGATTGACCAAACCGAACAAAGATTGTGTATTCCTCATAAGGAAGAGATTAAGAGTCTGTTGATTGGGGAATGTCACGATTCTGAGGGTCATTTTGGTTTCAAGAAAACATATGCTGAAGTTAGAGAATGTTTTGAATGGAAGGGACTTAAAGAAGATGTACTAACATATGTTCGTACCTGTTTAGTGTGTCAGAGAAACAAGTCATCGCATGAGAATCCCCTTGGAGTTCTCAAGCCATTACCTATACCAAGTGAACCAGGTGAGTCTATCTCAATTGATTTCATGAGTCTGGTTAAAAGTCGTAATGGTAATAGTAAAGTGATGGTAATTGTGGACCGTTTCTCTAAATACGCTATGTTTGTTCCCTTACCAGCAGAAGCGCATACTGAACTTGTCATCCAGAAATTTCAGATGCGATGGGTCACTGAGTATGGGTTCCCTAAATCCATTGTGTCTGATCGAGATGTCAGGTTCACCAATCTGCCATGGCAAAAGCTGATGGAAGCTTATGGCACGCGATTGACCATGTCGTCAGGGAGACATTCCGAAACGAATGGCTTGACTGAACAGATGAACCGTCTGTGCCAGCAACTTTTGCGCATGTATGTTAGACCCGATCAAATTGATTGGGATGAGAACTTACCCAAAATTGCGAGTGCATATAACAACAGTGTCCACACTTCCACTGGACGAACCCCGAATGCACTTCACAAAGGGTGGAAACCTAAACGTCCCATTGATGTATTAAATTAAACCGGGACCAGTTCCTTAGGTTGCCCCCAGGGACCCGAGAATATGCAGTATTGTTTCAGGAGGACATTCAAAAAGTTAAAGATAATCTAAGGAAAGCTCAACTACGGATGATTGAACAAGCCAACAGGCACCGTCGACCGTCTATATTCAAAGAGGGTGATTTGGTTTGGGTAAAATCTAAAGAGCTTTCACTAGAGAAGGATGTGTCCCAGAAATTGCTTCCTGTCTATTTTGGGCCCTGGGAAGTTCTCAAAGTAATTGGAGATGCAGGGGGACCGTCTTATCGCATTGATATTCCCCCTCATCTCAAAACATATCCTGTTTTTCATGCGTCCAAACTATTACCCTTTGTAGAAGGAAATGAGTTCCCACACAGACCTTCTATGATTCTGCCAGACATGGAGGGCGGATACGAGGTAGACAAGATCATAGAGCATAGGTACTTTTCTACAGGTGGGCGTGGACGACCCCATAAGCAGTTCAAGGTACGTTTTAAGTCTCAGGCACCATCTGAGGACAGATGGTTTAGCAAACGAGAACTACTTGAAACTGCTCCTGATATTGTCGCTGCTTATGAACGAGGGTTAAAAGTCTTAAAAATTTCTGCGATGGAGCTTGAAAATGGGCCGGCAGGAATGCAGTAACCTTGTTCAGAAGTAGCCTGGGGCCATAACTCAGCCCCAGGCAACGCAGACCTGAGTCGGTCTGCACTGGGCTGTGTAACCAAGACACGCCCAGGCCTGAGTCTGCTGCGTTCGGCTGTGTGACCAAACGCTGCACACTGGAAATTCAAGGGTCAAAGTCAACTGTAGAGTCAAAGGTACCGCACCCAGGCCCTTGGTTGGATACACTCACTTGTTGTGCGCAGGTACCCAGACAACATCCAGGCCGGAGAGAATTCGGTTTCAGACCAATCTGGGCCTTCGTTTGCATTGAGATCTGGACGGTCGAGGGATACAGCATCCGGGGTCCAGACCCCGCGTCAACGCTACATAAGCGCTGACTTCCTGGCTTTGACATTCATTCTGTCTTGCGTTGATGCTGACTTCACACGTTGACTTCAACGCTGGCTCGACGCTGCGACGCTGGCATTGTGATTCGGCGAGGCGCTGCTGGTCCAGCATGGTGGCTGGCTTGCACCTGTCTTCTTGGCATGCTGATGTGGCAGCTGCCATGCGCTGTTGCTGATGTGGCTGCTGCCATGTGTATCATTCGCTGACGTGGCTGCTGCCACGTGGACTACTGATTGACAAGGCGAAGCTATGTGACTTGCGTTGCTGTTCTGATTATCGTGATTCAGGAGGAGATCGGGACTGTGGAGAGATTGTGGATACGTACCTGATGGTCTTCATGTCGGCATTGCTCCAGCGCTGATGAGAGACTAATTAGACGTGCCTCGTGGCACATTGAGGTTACTTCAGATGCTCGTTCAGACTATTGATTATTGAGGTGGTGATCAAGGAGGGAGCCCGAAGCAGGAGTGGGCCTTGTATTATTCCTCCTTTGTCTAATCTCCCTCCTCTCTCTTCGTCTGTGTATGATTATCTCATCTCATTCTGTCTGGATACGATTTTGACTATTGGTAATCATCAGCTGGTTGAAATTYATCTGGGCTTGCATTGTTGACGGCAGTCTTCACGATCGGGGTTCATTGCACGTACCTTGTTTTCGGGTTAAGACTGTAGCGCTCAGCGGCCATAGCCGCTAGATGTGACAAGTTGACTTAAGGTGGGTTCCTGGCCAAAGGCCATATTTCTGAGTTTTCTGTGTGGGCGCAGTGCGCCATCGCAAGCTTGTTGCTGATTCTGCGTTGACAAAGTTGTTTTGCCATCGGCTCCTACATGTATGCATGTTGCAAGTGAAATTGAGACAAGTCTGATTGCATTGCTCATTTTCCTTGCATATTGTTGTATGGTTACTTCTGAAATGCGAAGGCTTCACTGATTGGCTGATTGGTTGGTTGGTTGGTCGGTTGTTTGGCTGATTGGCTGATTGGCTTATTCATTGATTGCTTGATTGCTTGATTTTTGCCTGATTGGATTATTGGTTGATTCAACTTGGTTGGTTGATCTACTGATTGGCCAGTTCAGTGGTTTGGTTAACGGCCTTACTGGCTGATTGGTTGATTGTCTGATTACCTTATTGGCTGAATTGTATTTTCATTTGTTGTCTCCTGCTTTGTCAACGATTGTTGTCTCAACCAACAGACAACAAGCAGGTGCCAAGTGGAGCATTCACTGAGTTCCTTCGCCAGTCTTTAGGAAGCGCCATCTTCAACGGAATTCTCACGATAGAGTGAGTAGCAGCATTCTGAATCCTTCATCCTTTTTTTTTATCTCTTACGGCACAACATGATATCTCCAGCCGTTTTCACAAACAAACTTCATCAACTTCAAAGGGAGAGATTGACTTGTGGAATTTGGAAATTAAAGCAAGACAAGGAGACTCGTGTGCCCGCGCAGTCTGGGCCGAGTCAGAACGTCAGAGTCTGGTGTGGACCCGGGAGTAGGGAGTGCCCTTAAAACCACCTGTACCTCTCCCAGGCAAACTTTTGTGATGAATTTGCCCACCGCAGGTTTTTTTGATGAACAGTGTTACCAGACCAAAATGGCTGGCAGCACTAGCCAAAACAAAAACGAAAAAGTGCACATGGCGTTTTTTTTTTTTTTTTTTTCGGCGCGCAATGGAAATCTGCCAGGGGAAATGCTCGGTCTTTGCGTTAGCCGGATCCCCACCGGCGGCCCCACCCCATCTCTGACTACCGCTGTTGGGGCGGGGGGCGACATGAATTACCTCATTTGCGAGGCCCTATGCTTGCAGGGGTCCC